AAGGGTCCCGTACCAAATTACAGTTTGTAGCTCGTCGGGACTTGAAACCCAGAAACGCGCGGTCACAACACTTTACTTATGAAAGTCATAACCTGAAAGACGACATTTCAAAAGAGAATTAAATCATGTGAGAATAGCTGAAGTAACTGTCGAGAGACAGAAACTCGGCACCATTCTTTTACTACACCTCTGACCACATAAATAATACATCACGACTCAGCGTTAGCAGCTATTAAACTTTCTAAATGCAAATGAATAGCCAGACGGCACAGCCATGTTGTGTCAGTGGTTGCAGCTGTAACTGGTTTCAGAGTCAGATCAAAGAAACACACACAAGACGCAAGCAACAGGATTCCCGTATTTGTATCTCAAGTCAACTGGAACTTTCACCGCAACATATGTGTTAGAAAACACTTGATATTTTGATTACGTTAAGTTCGATTACTGAACTAAGTAACAGGCAAGAGTAGGAACTCTTGACTTTACTTTGTCAACAATGGAACACTGCATTTTAGTTCACTTACCCCACACACTTGGTAAATTGGCGTCCCCACTGGAAGGAATATGGCGGCGGGCGAATCAACAATAATCATTCCACGCCATCTTTCTTTGTAAATATAGCATTGAATCCGATCCTCACGGGGAGGATTTTCGTACGTGTTTTTGATTATTTTCCAGCCAGTGCCTTACAGAATAGCTCTTCACATTTTATATCTTGGATTTATCTCGTATTTGGATTCCGGTCATCTCGGAAGATGTCAATTTTGTGCAGAGGATTTCAACTTAATGGTCATATGTATTTATTCCTACCTTTTGTGAGTCTCTGTTTTCCCCGTCACGTACAATCAAAATTAATGCTCCCAAGTTGGCCAAGTTCACATAGCATACAAATTATACTGGATAGGAATAATCGCAGAGCCGGTTTAAGGCGAAGTCATTGCTGGAAACCGATCACCTGATACTTATTTATAATTAATTATTGTTTATTTTTAAGTGATTGAAATGTGTCTCGATAGAGCAATGTTCTCTTTCAGAAGCGAACAGTCGTCGAGCTAGTCGTTTATGGAAGCAGGACGACAAAGGACCTCGACATCAACAACCAATATTAAGCCGATACGTTCTACGAGGACAGTAATGCCAACTGTAAGGGAAGTTTCTGCATACGCTTTTATATTTTAAATGGCTCGAAGTTAAGTATCGAAAAATGGCAATTTTAGGGAATAAGTTCCACAGAAATTATTATTTTGTGACGTCCATGCCACATCAGTATTCGACGGACGGTGTGCGACAACAGGACCGGGGGGGGGTAAATTTGTAATCAGGTCACGAAATCTCTTTCCGTTTCCTGCATCCAGCATTGTTTACTCGTAACGATGTGACCTGAGAGATGTCTAGTTCCCGTCGAACTTACTTAAGCGTCGAATTTTTCATAGCTCTCCGTCCTTGTGCCCTGATACATTTGTATTGCAGCTGGGAGTCTGTTTTTCAATTGTAACTCGCAGTTTGCTGCCAATTCATCTGCTGAGCCGAACATAAAAGGTAGTCAGGAATGTTGCGTTACGTTGGCAGTCCGTCTACACAATTCTTGATTACTTTCAATGTTTACAAAGAATGCACTGCTCGTTTTGACCTTTGTTGGTCATCTTCTGGGTGCCTGAAACTAGCAGATGTGACTTCTAATTTGTATACAATTTTTTACTGTTGACTTCTCCACGTAATGAATTGTGTCTTACCTTTTCCACTAGAGCGCAGCACGTGTTTGCAGTTACCGGCGGAATGCTGTAGTTGAACAGAAGTGGTTCGATGGTGTTGATGGGTAGATCTGGGAGGTTAGGAGAGAGCGTGGTGGATGGAGAGAACGTTCTCCAGGTATTACTGGAGTTTATCAAGATTCCAGAAATGGGGCTGCTGCTATCTGGGTTTTTGTTTTGTTTAAATAAGCGTCTTTTTTATGATGGCGTATATGTGGAATTTTTGTAATGTGCTAATTCATCTGTCCCAAAAAGATAACATAAACACAACGTTAATATTTTGTATTATAATGTGTATACATATTTTTGGGTCACTCTGTATTTTTTAATATAATGAATAAAATATCTCCACAAACATAATAAATTTAATAAAGCATTTCAGGGTAAAATATATAATACATGTTTTGCAATTTCACATCACACGTCGAAACCATAATTCTTATATTCTATAACGCTGGAGTAACATAGATATTTACGTTCACTGATGTTCAATCTCTCGGGTAGAGAATTCTTAACTTTTCCCGTGGTATGTATTGCGCTCCATCAAAGTATTCAAAATTATTTTTAATTTCAGAATGCTGGACCTGTCCGACAACAATGCATTATTAGAAAACATTAACTACAGTCCGCGACTGTAATCTTGAGACTTGCGGGGAATGCAGGAAGTCCGTAGCGTTAAAGGCAGACGATGTCTTTCCTACTTCACCCCACTTCATCACCCCGCAAGTCTCAAGATTACAATCGCGGACTGTAATCATGCATATATATATATATACATAGAATACCCTAGTTGTTGCACGAGCGTGAAACTTAGAAGAACAGACTGAGGCCATTTGAGAACAAAGTGCAGAGAAGATTATTTGGGTGCAGAAGGGGAAAAGTCCCCACTTAATGGTACCTGCACCTTGTCGTGGTGGTGGGGCTTGGCACCTCAGTGACCCCAAGAGCTACTGGTAGGGCCTCCCTAGCCAGATTGGTCGAGGGGGAGAGGTCAGACTAAGACAGGTACCCTGGTCCTCCAGGTTGGGGGTTGGTCGCAAGGCTAACAACCTTGCATCGTAAAAAGGAAGATGTTTCGAAACCTCAATCAAAGCCTCGGACAGACGGACCTAACAGAGGACCGAATGGAAGAGGAGAACTGAGGAGGCCATGGACCGAATACGGACCGGAGAGCCATAGAAGAAGAAGAAGAAGAAGAAGAAGGAGGGGAAAAGTAGGAAAATTAAGTGAACTGAAGAGTGTGAGATGTGTGAGACTTAGATACAGATGGAAGATAATATCAAAACTGATCTCAAAGAAGTAGAGTGAGGACGTAGACTGGATTCATCTAGCTGACTTGAATTAATATGTTTCAGGACAGTACCCAGGCAATCTGTAGCCAGTCTGTTATCTAACTTCACTTATAATGGAAAAAGAAACAAAAGAAAACAACACAGACACAAAAATAACCATAAGAGAGGAACACAACAGCAAGACTTCAAGTTCTCATGGCAGCAAGTACGAAGATGGCCGTCTCCTGGGTCGTAGCACCACGTAGACTGGTAGAAGTTTATCAGTGTTTCGGAGGACTTTGCTGTCCCCACCGCACCCTAATGATGGAGGCAGAAAGTACTTCTGAAACGTTGGTAAACTTCTACCAGACTCTGTGGTGCTATGACCCAGAAGACGGTCATCTTCAAGAATATAACATATACACACACACTTCGTCTCCATGTCATTGGCCGTGAAGTCCCACGGCGTTGTGAACTACTTTTTCGCCGAGTGGCAATGGTGATGAGTTCACATTGATGATGAAGATGAGAATGGAGTAATTGTTGGGATTCCACGGAGAAACCGGGGAAGCCCCGGAGGAAAACTCTGTGTTGCCTAGACCACGGCCTTGCCCAACACCAGTTATAAATTCGGGCACCACCAGGAATCGAACCCGAGACCCCAGGATTACAAGCCCAGCGTTCTGATAATATGGAATGCCCAAGAAGTCATCATACCCCTACTTAATTTAAGATGCAGCAAAAGTCACTGTTTTCAAGTGGATGTGTATGTGCACCACCACATGTACCACGGTACATGGCATGTACATACAGATCCACATCGCTAGTCAAGTAGGGGCATGGCGACTTCTCAGCCATCCTGTACATTTATATGTCTACACGTTGTGTTGATGGTCTTCTCATTTTGTATAACGTACACAACAAGTTGCCCTCGGTGGACTAGTGGTTAGCGTGCTCGCCACTGGACCCAAGGTTCGCGGGTTCAAACCCGGCCGAGGTCAGTGGATTTTTAAGGGTGATAAAAATCCGTAGCACAACTTCCTTCAGAGGGGAAGTAAAGTCGGTGGTCCCATGTCGTAGATTTACGGCATGTGAAAGAATCTTATGAGCATGAATGAGATGTTTCGTAAGCAAAATTCAGCGGCCATTTCTCACACAAGTTTCCTGAATAACTACTAGATGGCTCTGGCAGTCAAAAATCAGGATTGAGTAGAAATTGTGCAGAGGCAGTGGGCTGGTCCCTCACTACTCACAAATGAACGCTTCAAAGACTAGGAAAACCTACGAAAAAAGGAGGTGGCGAAGACCCACAACTGGGCTGTAGAGCCAAGAAAGAAAGAAAGAAAGAAGAAACATACACAACAGGATGCATAAACTAGAGACAACACTTCAGTACACAACAAACTTACTACAGTGTTCTTCATGAGCTCCAGCAGTTCCTGAACAACGTAAGTTGAATGAGATCCGGGGCGGTCCCCTTCATCTACTAACACTGCATAATGCGGCATGTTACGAAGAACCTGGAAGGAAAAATTATTACCTTTCTTTATACACATCGGTATGCTGAACTATTTATGCCCACCTGAGAAATCAGCAAGATTGTCATGTCAGTACGGTCAATGACAATTTACTTCTTAGTCTATTAAATGATACTTTCTCAACTGCATTGGTTATATGGGGCCAACTGATTCTTAGGTTATTTAATAATACTCTGTCAACTGTGAAACTTACACAGCATCAAATGTGATAAGAACATGATCTTGAATGTTGAGCAGGGACACGGTTAAGGCCTATTTCAAGGAACCAGCCCCCCAAATATAAAATTTAGGATAACTGGTAACTGGGCTGGGATTCAAACCAGGTACCAGATAATGTGGCCATTTTAATTGTGTTCGAAGGCCATGCAGGCACAAGGAGGCAGAACTGAAATGATAATGTATATTCAAACAGGAATTTTACCCCTCAAAACTGGATAAATTAACAATAAACAACAACAGAACTGAATGTACAACCTATTTTAAAAACTGACAAATTATGGAAGAAGGGCAAACAGGGCTGCTTAAGAGATCAAGAATAGAATTCATTCTTTTATACATTTAATTGTTGGCTCTAGTTACGGGTTACTTCATTAATACTGAACTGGAAAAGATACGGTATTTGCATGGAGAGACTGAGAAAAACCATGTAAACCCCAGGTGGTACAGACATTCTTTAGGCTGAAATGTGAACCTGGGCTTCCCAGTACAAAGCAGTGACATTTTGTAATTTTTGTTCCACATGATGATTTGTCTGCATAATGTACAGCAACACGGCGTATTGTAAAATTCTCACAAATTCCGAACACTGCAAATTACAAGACAAAATTAGATAATGTTTTTGAGGCAAGACTATTTTACCTAAGATTATCCCACCTACCCCTGCTGTGCAAATTTTCCACTGCTCCAGCTCCCACGGCCCCGAAAACCTTTACTAAAAAGACCAGCTGCGCCACTGGTTAGCCACCTCATATTGAAGCTGGACACAGTTACGATCTCCGCAACGCCTATTAGATGCCATCACCCACAAACAGGATCCACATTATTTTTGCCTGATACGCACTTCAGCAAGATACTGAGTACGACAGATCTTTCTCATGAAAATATTACATGAAAGGATAACATTTAATGAACATAATGTCTACGATAAAAGTCTCGGTAACCACCGAGGAGACATAATCTTGAGTGTTATGGGCAGGGCCATTAACTTACTAAGGAGCACCATAAATTGCTAAAGCTGAGAGAAGATTAATACACAAAATTAATGCATATGAAAATATTAAATCCATAATTACTTACTAACCTTGATATTACCATACATACGCTGCAGCCAACTTTCTGGAGCCTGGAAAATGAGAATTAATTGTATTAACAAATAGTTGTCCTGCAAAATTCAGAACATAATAACTGCAACAAAATAAATACCAATATATAAACACATACCATCATCCATACTGCAGAGATACAGTGAAATGTCAATAAAACAAATGTATTAAAAATTGAATATGCCGATAGCTGACGCGTCCCAAACAATTGCAAACCCTCCTGCCTATCTTGGACTTTCCTGATGGCATATTCTGTTAAAGAGCAAGGGAGACAAAGCATCTCCTTGTTTCAGACCATTGATGGAAAATTACTCAGATAAATATTTACATATATGAATTTTGCTACAGGTTTCATTAAAGCCATTCTGTTACTGCAGATTTATTTATTTTGTATCCATATACACACCATTCAAAGTAGAAATCATTTAGTATAGAATAAATATAAGAGTAAATTTACAACATATATACAAAATTATATTTGAAACCGATATCGGGCATGAAGAATGGCAGTGTCTGTACATGTAGCCAAATCTTTGCTTGTGCAGGGAGAATCTAAGATGGGGCAAGTCAGGAGGTGATCCATTGTCTGTGTTTGTCCACAGGAACACTGGCCAGACACACGAGGATATCCCCACCTCATTAGGTTTGCCGCACAGTATAGATACAGAGTCTGTTTAAAGTTTTCCAGGTAGGCCAGTCTAATTCAGAACCTGGAGGAAGGACTTCCTTGGGTTCTAGACCCAGAAGGTCCTGGGTGTCTATTTCATCACTTCTTATTTTCCATATCCTGGTTCTTTCATCTTTCTGGTTCCACTGCAGATACAAATGCTTGCTTGGATGTTTTTCTGTGTTGTGCTGTCCTGTGTACAGGTAGAGGCCTTGTGACGGGCCGAACCCTCGTCCAAGGAGTCCTACCGAATGTCCATAGATCAAGCCAACTGAAAAGTTGGGGACCCGTAAAAAGTACCAGAAAATGTACAAACATCGTTAAACCGGAAAAAGAAGAAGATATGATTTCTGTACTAATACTTTCAATTACCTGTTGACTGAAATTTTTACGCATGACAAACTACAGTGATTTCACCAAGAAACCAGAACACAGCTGTCACAGAGACTTCATTTCAGCACCTCTAGAAAAAGACAAATTGATTTTATTACTTTTATGAAGTGATACTTGATGCATATTGGAAAAATCTTGTAGCATTTGGCAGTGGATCATGCAGTTCCAACCAAGGGTCAGAAGTGACAGTTGTATTCCAGATTATCAGTGAATGCGCTGTAATGCCAAATTACAAATGTCATTAGGCTTGGTCTGCTATGCTTTGGTGATTTTAAAATTATTAAATCATGAAAATGTGACTTAAGTTTCAGTTTGGGCATACTGTCACATTAATTCCTTTCCAAAATGGCCTGTCATAAAAACAATTTTTAATGCACACCAGTATCAAATTTAATTACTTATTTAAAATCCAATCAGTGGTTTCATAGATGAAACAAAGGAATTGTTGGACAGGCACGACTTCCCCCTTTTTTGTTCATTTTGTGAGTTACATGCAATTCAAATAGGAAGCCTTTACCTGAAGAGTTTCCACATACTGTTCCCCAGTAGAATAATTGTTCTTAGAAAGTACAACGTTGGTTTTAGCCAAAAACATTACCTAAAACCCATCCATATGACAACATATGGAGTGGTTTAACTTTGCGGTTTGTGAGGAAATAGTTTGGGATAAAACATATTTTAACACAAGAACTCAAAAATTAGCCAGGAAAATTACTTGTTTAGGGATCAACTGATCTGAGATTTTGTGAGGTACGGCCTTCTGGGATATTGCACCACGTAATGTCACATAAGTAGATAGATGTTACAGAGGGGTGTACTGCCTCCATCATCTGGGTGAAATGTTAGTCAATGGCATGATATCCCAGATGACTGTCATCTTTGCTAATTCAAGATTTTGTTTCTTTTTCTGACTCAAAATCCTTCAATAACAGCGTCTAAGTTTCCACAGCCTTCGTTCCAGGCGTATGAAATTTATTCTGAACCGCACAACCAACAAAAGACCCTCTGTGTGGCAGTTCTTGTGATACTGCACAAACATACGATGAGAATTTCCCACCTACACTTTACTATTATTGAGAGACATCAAAATTTCTTGCGGTTAATGCTCACTGATGAACAAGGCAGTTCTAGGTCCTTAAAAATTTAAATGCCTGTTCAAGCCCTTCCAGAGATACTAGGTTGGATTAAAGTGAAAGTTTAATACCTTTTAAATTAAAAATTCTGATTCATCTTTGATATGGATGGCAAAGCTCGTGCTTAGGAAGTCGCAGCATGAACACAAATACATGCTACAGGCCAGAACTTAGATCACCACAGTAGTCTTCCCATTTTCAACGGAGGGGGAGGTGTTCAGAATTTATTGGGAGAGACTTTTAGGAATTTCTGAGTGCATAACTTACATGCATCACTGTTATAAGATTATTAAACAGTTTACAATCAGAGAAAATAACTAATTAACCAAAAATACAATGCCTACAATTTCTGAGTTCACGCTCTAACAGTTTTAAAATAGTGAAGACATAACTTCATAAAATAATTCTGGTAATTACAGAAATCTCAGATGTTTGTAGTTTTTTATTAACCTCTATCAATGGGAATAGCAAATTTCAGGAATTGTACTGCGGTGATGATGGCCAGGCTAAATTTCTGGGTTAAGAATTTATTAATTTGCTAGTATGGTACACAATCAGCTGAATCGTGCATAAGCTGCAAGACAAAGATGATAAAAGTTAATAAATAATGTAAGTTTAGAAGAACAAAATTCACCTTTCATGAGGTATAACTACTGTTCTCAACAGTTTTATATCTGGAATCAGACCAATACCTTAGCTTGCAGGTCCCATCCTACAATAACACCCTTGTAGCCGAGCGTACGATGCTTGACTACTTGTCCAATTCTGTAGTGTAAGTGAAATGGTCGCTCATTCCTCGCATCTAATGATGCAGTGAAGTATCCAGCCTTTTGTCTATACCGTAATACTTCAATAGCTGGAGACTCATTTTTGTGTGTGCTGCTGAAATCATCTGGCTGAATGACAGCTGAACAAAATGAAAAGAAAGAAATATTAACACCCCCACAAAAACCTGTCAGCATAGCCAGTCTCCAAGCCAAGATTCAGGGTTACAGAAATTACAACAGACCTAATTGTCAGCATGGGAATGGTAAATGACTTTATTCAGAACCTTGAATTCACAACACCAAAAGAAAATACTACCGCAACATTTAATCCGGTTTACGAAAACAAGGAATTTGGGGAAATATAGTGGAGATATAACCAGTGGATACTCCTTTGTCCTTTTTCTGTAAGGAAAACTCTTATCTCTGTTATCAGGGGCAGAAAATGTTGCAGAACCTTACGTTTGCTGAGCCAATGAACTTTGGACTAGTACACAACGTCGTCATATTTACTTTAAATCCGTGATTTAACACGCATAACCTAACGAAAGTTAAGACCACTGATGACATCAGTATCTTCTTCTTCTATGGCTCTCCGGTCCGTATTCGGTCCATGGCCTCCTCAATTCTCCTCTTCCATTCGGTCCTCTGTTAGCTCCGTCTGTCCGAGGCTTTGATCGAGGTTTCAAAACATCTTCCTTTTTGCAGTGCAAGGTTGTTAGCCTTGCGACCAACCCCCAACCTGGAGGACCAGGGTACCTGTCTTAGTCATAACTTGTTTAAATCTCAGAGCTTTGCCATTTCGGTTCTGTTGAGTGATAATTTAATAATACTGTCTTAATTCATTCTGGAGACCTAACATGTGTACATGCTTGTAAAGAAAAGACTACTATTTTAAAGCCAATCATAAACGATGCATCATCAATAATTTTGCCCACAAGCTTAAAGAGATCTAAATTATGCTTCTGAAGACTCGTAGTAATGCCTAAATAAAATCTGATCCCTTTGTGTGGCCTTGCACTGAATGGAGATCCAAGTGTTCTTCAAATACCTCAAAATAAGATATTCTGCCATGTGCAAACATACGTGTTTACACAGTTGAGGTGAAGGCCACTGACTCGTGAACAGTCACAAACAGCAAGGAAAACTAAGTTTCATCATCATCAATTGAAATGTTCCTTCAGCTGGCAACAAAAACATAGAGAGGCTGATGCATAATACTATAACTGCAAGTCATAGTTTGTGTTATTTCAAGCACCAATACCTGGAATTCTCACAAACGTCAGAATAGTCTTTTTCCACAATGAAAAAACTTAAATTTTTGCCTATTCTGTTCATGAAGTTTTGATTTTTTGGGCGATAGGTGTACATTAAACATAACACGTAACTGCCCATACTGCTGTTATACAGGGAATTCCTTCAACAAACAAATCCGGTCTGCTCGGCTCTGATAAAAACATGCTGGTGGCAGTTAACAATGCTTCACATGGAACATGGACTAGCAACGAGATGGTATTTTGTCATCTGCATTACTGCACAGTGTCTCTGACCTTTTATGGCAATCATGCACATGCATTTCTGTTCTTGTACCATCATTCAGAATTCTAATCTGTTCTCTTGTTCATAGTAATAAACAGATATAATAAAATATTCACTTGAACAGCAATTTTTTCTGTGTGACAGAAATCCTATAAATTGTGCAAAATAAGTTTTGCCGTAAGTATCCTGGTGTTCAAGTTCCAGCTTCACCAGTAATGTTCAAATAGATGAAAAAATGTGTTCGACTGGGTCTTTCTTGGACAAGAAATACAGCAGACAGAATGTCATTCTGAGCAAATGTTAGATGAAACTGGAAGCAGATCAGAACACTCACCTTGCAAATTCTTGGCAAAATTAACTCAAGAGGAAGTGGTTTTCAAAATAACAGCCTGGAGAGAGAAAAAACTTATGTCTAACTAACTAACTAACTAACTAGATATCTTACCGAACCCGAAGGTTCATCACCGAATTAACCAAAGTTCTCCACCGGACCCTGTCCTCGGCTAACAAAATCCAGTCTCCCTCAACTCCCATATCCCATAGATCCCGCCTGACATTATCCTCCCATCTACGTCTAGGTCTCGCCAGCGGTCTCTTCCCCTCAGACATCCCAGCCAATACCCAGTGCACACCTCTTGACCCATTCATGCGTGCTAATGCCCCGCCCATCTTATTCTTCTCGACTTAATCACCCTGACAATATTGGGGGAGGAGTACAGATTTTTAAGCTCATCATTATGCAGTTTTCTCCAGACACCATCGTCTTCCCTCTTAGGCCCAAATATCCTCCTCAACACCCGATTCTCAAACACCTGCAATCTGTGTTCCTCCCTCTGAGTGAGAGACCACGTTTTGCATCCATACAAAACAACAGGCAAAATTATTGTTTTGTATTCTTATGTCTACAACCTATAAAATAACACAGATTCAAGTAAGTGAAGAAGGCAATTATGAGGGAAGAACACATTTTTGTAACTGCTTTTTGCAGTCAGTAAATGACGGTGTTCTTCACCCAAAACTTACATTTTTCAATGATGAAGATTGGTTCCATGAATAGCAGAGCCCATATTTTTTAAAACAATATTAATTCAGAGCTTTCGTCAGTGACATTCTTCAGCCCTTTTTTGAGAGCATTAGAGAAGAAAAGATATGACCATTTAATGCAAAATGGTGCTACAGCACATACTGGCAATTATTTCATTAATGTTTTAAACAGAGTGTTTGAAGGCATAGATCATGGCCTGCAAGGTCTCCTGATTTAAATCCCGGTGATTTTTATCAGTGGGAAAATCTGAAAGACAAAAGTTTACTCACATAATCCCCACACAATGAATGAACTTTCGTAAAACATTCATGAACCAATCACATCTGTAGATGTCGATGAAATCATATTAGTGCCAAATAATCTTTTCAAGTTCGAGAGCGGAACGGAGGGATTTTGAGCACCCACAATGATGATGAGTAAAAATGTATTTACTTTAAAACGCGCAAGTACATGTTGATTATACGTGGCATTTTAACGATGATGCAGGACTCCTTTTACTTGGCAGGTGATGGGCGAGTTGCCGATGCACGATGGGTTGGTCAGGCAATATAATTATTTGAGGAACTCCCTGTATGAACTGAAGGCTCTTCAGTAAAAAACAATTCCACAAAAATCCATCAAGAACAAGTGAATGAAAATGTATTAAGAATTTATATACTTTCATGTTGCACATGTAACTGCATTTACTTACGTCTCAGTTATTCATCAGTGAAACAGTGAATGTGTAAAACAAATAAGAGATTTACCAAAATTACTCTGGCTTGTGGGAAGTGGAATGGGGGAATGGAGGAGAGGAGAGGAAGTGATGAGAAGTAGGTTCATCGCCCTGATGAAGGAGGTAGTATGACCTCTGAAACGTCGGTTAACATCGACCAGACTACACAGCGCAACAACCCAGAAGACGGAAATCTTCATACTCATCGCCCTGATGACGGAGGCAGTATGACCTCTGAAACGTTGGTAAACATCGACCAGACTACACAGCGCAACAACCCAGAAGACAGAAATCTTCATACTCTGATGACGGAGGCAGTACGACCTCTGAAACGTTGGTTAACATCGACCAGACTACACAGCACAACAACCCAGAAGACAGAAATCTTCATACATTCATTAGTTTTACCTTTAAGTATCCATGACACAAACTGCAGCCATCTGGCTTTCCAATATTCCAATTTAAACCATGAATCCTGCGGCAATGGATGGGGCCTTCCTGTTCCCACAAGCAGATACTGTACTGGCACACTGAGTAGCAGCAATCCCAGTTGAACTGCCTCACGCTGCGTCAATGGCATAATAGCTGTAGTGCTGAAAGCGTGAATTTTTAGCATCAAGCATCAAATTGTGAAATCTCAACAAAACACATATTATCTCAAATATTTGTTTGGTGTATTCACAGAATTTCACACATTAATAGGATTTAAGGTTTTCATGGCAATAAGTCAAAAGATGGCTGTCTTCTGGGTTGTTGAGCCGTGTAGTATGGTAGAAGTTTATAAACGTTTCAGAGGTCCTTGATGGTTCCATCATCAGGGTGATGAGGCAGCAAGGACCTCTGAAATGTTGGTAAACTTCTACCAGACTACACAGCTCAACAACCCAGAAGACAGCCATCTTCACAAGCACAATTGGCAACAACAAATGTATTAATGTCAGGTCTACAGGGTCACTTCTGTACTAGAAACTTGATAAAAAAAACTGTGTACTCACAAGGAGAAACTAGTCAAAATAATGGCAGAGGGATTTGGCCATTTTGCACTGAAGACAATTCTCTTGATGGCTTCAGAAAGGGTGTTTAGTGACAAAAATATGTAATGGTTTATTGCCTAACCTAACCTAACCTAACCTAACCGCGTATCTATCTGATATTACCCATGAAACTGTCATCTATGGGGAAATTTGAAGCAAAACTTTTCAGGACGAACCCCTATTTGGAAGAAGAATTAAAGGAAAACATGCAAACAGAAATTCTGACAGATTCTCAGTAACTCTTTCAGGTGAATTTTAACAAATACGATATGCCTAAAGAGTGTAAACGTATTGGGGCATAATTTTCAGCACCTCTTATAGCCGTGAAATGACAACTGCGTTCAGCTTTAACAGTATCTTCAGGTCTATAACAAGCACTTGAAAATGAGTATATTACTGAAACTCACCGATTATGACTAGATAATTCGTGTTTTGCGTTACACTTTCCTCTACGACATAAAGATGGTGTTACAAAACATACAATCAGTATTAATAATGCCAGCAAAATACATGTCAGCAAAGCTACGTTAGTACAGAAACCAAACACTTTATTTCTATATCACACTACCTGCCATGTTTATTTACCACCACAGTTTACTATCGAGACAAATTAAATGATACTATTTCTCTCCTCTTTGCCAAGGATTACATTACAGAATTCCCTAAAAAGGTATATACACACATTCATGAATGAAATAAATACATTTTAATAAATTAAACTATTTACATTCGTCAGCATTGGTACCTGGTGAAGCAACGAATCTAGTGTCGATGTGCGAAATGACGATCATTAGCTTCGTGGCACAGTTGATAACGGTCAGCAACTGCTGACCACCGATAACCAGTGTCATTGGCTTTGTGCTGAATACTGCGTCCTTCAAGGAACCCTACAAATAAAAGTCAGTTGGGGTTAAATTTGGCGATCTTTTGGGGGGGGGGAATTCAATATATCCTCTGCATACTATCCATCGGCCGGGAAAAGTGTTAAGATGATGGTAATGGGATGCCCAGTCATCGTAATCTCCATAGAGCTGACGAACGGCGGGACGATTCCGTTTAATGTCTTCAATACGATTGAAGTGTGCCTCGACTATGGCCCAGCTGAACATATCGTTTTGAAACATTGTATAACTATAATCAGCAAAAAAGTTACATATAAGAACTGTATTCTTGGGCATTATCTCCTTGTCAATAAGTATAAATGCGTGCCTGGAGAACGATGTAAAAGAATCGGTCGTTTATTGTACCTTTATGAAAGGCGTCAAAATGATTTTTCGTTACAGTTAGGCTACCCAAAATGTTTCTGAACTTACTGAGCAATTTTATGATGTGCTGATAAGACAGGTTGAGTAGTTTAGAAGTTGCTCATGGCAATCTGTATTTCTTGACTGTAAATTTGCATCATTATTCAGTAATAATTGAAGAGTTAAAAATTCAATTAAGAAACAAATATGGTACTTACAGATAATAATAATGCATTCGTTAAAGTGTCAAGATCAAGGGATTTCCAAACCATTTAATAAATGCTGTTCAAATCCTGGAAAAATACAGTAATCACAATAGAAACGGCCACTATGCAAAGAACTTGACTGCAGACATTAATGATAAAGGAAGACAAGAGTGCCCTGTCACCAGTCTGTTTTGAACAGTTAAAGAGTACCAGGATTTTAAATATCTGTATCCCCTGCTGGCCCAATTTAAATCCCACAGTTATGTTACGATATGTATGTCTTTCAATAAAACAACCAAAGCGTGTAGTATAAGAAACTTGATGGCATGCTCTTGTCTGACAAGCTAACATTTTGACATATATGTGAAGTAAAAAAGTCATCACACTATGTGCCATGTAGGCGCTTGGGGGTGGGATGTAGCTCCCCATTCTCAACCTCAATACTAGATGGGTGTGACTAAATAAGTGTAATGTATATGTGTATATATGTATGTATATATATATATATAATGAACACTGTTATTTCTATTTCTTCCCTCCATTACTGTGGCTAATTTAAGTCTATTGTAGTATTATGATCATCTTAAAAATGTGAAATTTATTTGAACAAATTATAACCAAGCATTAACGGAACTAAATTTCTATTCATCAATCTGAAACTTTGGGGTTTTGTATAATTATGAAATGAATTCTATCAAAACAGAGAATAAAACTGTAAATAATAAACATTTCACAAAATCTAAGATTTCATATCACGATGCGACCTGTTCTAAAGATACTTTGACACACTAAAATGGCAGAACACAGTCACAAATTCCTAGTAAACAAGAAATGCAAAAGTTAAAGTAATATAACAACAACAAAAAAAGTGAGTTTTATCATGTTGCATAAGAAGTGTTTAATAACCACAGTTAGTAAAGATTTTTCAGTTTTGAGGCATATCACAACCAGGAAAGTAAGATCAGTAAAGTTTATCTTCCCAAATAAGTTGATTAATGATGCTGTATCATCTACAGAAGTCACACAGAATGAATAAACGAAACTTAAGGATGAACTGGGTGAATGTGAAGAAACTTCATTATCTTTTTGGCCTATTTCTAGGTTCTGTACTGGCCTTCAGTTGAAATACTGCAGAGATCTGTTACAACATGCAGTTCCTTGGTTGAAATGCAAAGGAGGATGGTATTCACTACACTAAGACGTTCAACAAATAAGAATAACGTATTAGCTTAAATGCAGGATGATTATATACTCCGCAGTCAACACAGCAAAGAATGAGAAGGCAGTTTTCTGTTTCTATGACATAAAGCAGCCAGCAGGAGTACAAGAAAAAGATGTCTGTTTGTTTCAAATTTTAAAGCTTGTAGTTCATTTATTTCTTGGCAGATGTAAATAGCTGACTGCTGTATAAAAAGCTAGAGCACCAGACTTAAATATAACAAATAACTCACGCAAATATTTAAACACTGGTAGTCACCTTAAATTTGCATGTTAGAAAAACGGAATGTAATGCATATTCCATAATAAAAGTGCTATTAATAAACATAACTAATTAAATATAAAAAACACCAAAAGTAACTAATAAAAAAAAAGCTGAGCTATCCCAATTTCAGGACTGCAGGATTGTCTTTTGGGCAAGTGTAATTCATGTGCTTTCAAAGCTTTCTCTCTTCTACTCTGCATGTGTTGCAGATATATATAGATACATTTATTCACCGTTTTCTCAAATATTAACAAATGAAAATAAAATAAAATGATGCTTACTGACACAGTTCAGATTTGTGTGGGGAAAAATGGCAATAAATACATGACAATGGAAACACTCGACATCTCCACAAAGAATCCTTCTGACATTCATTTGGTGCCAGAACAGTGCAGGTAATGTAACCTCATACATGACAAGTGTTAAGCAGTGTCTATATCAACTGAAGATGATGTGCTGGCTCCAATATTGCACTTCATCTTGTTTCAGGCGTGTTCTTTTTTTTGATGGCAGAAAAATTTCTTTCTACAGACTCAAATATTATACCAATTAACATTCCCTATGTAAACCAAATCTTCCACAACCAAAGTATCTGAAAATGGATTATCAAAACAATTTATGTTGCCCCTTATATTTTAAAAGATGCACATGTGCAATTTAAATCATCGGAGAATCATTACCACCAGTTTTGAACACAACTGAAACAATGTTAAACCTGATATTCACTATGGGTCTGGATACCTTCCTACGCTTCCCTTTAAACACTGCAATATCATGAATTTTGAAACCAACAGAAATATAAATTCATTACTACAGGTATTGAGGCTAGTAGACCTGCACCTGAAAGAAAGGTACATAAATCATTTAAGGACGTACCATTACTCTTGTCCAAACCCACAGCAATTTCTCTTTCCATAAATGAGAAACATGATGGCAAAACTAGTATGTGTACATACAAAACATATATTCTACAGTCAATAAAGTAAGCCCACAAGATGAAAGTTAACTAGCAACTTGGTTCTGACAATGTGCACATTTGTTAGTTCAATTATTTTGCGACACGGTGACAATTCATAAATATGATACTCGAGAACTGCGTCTACTAAACAAAAATAACATTTTAAATTACATACGGCTTCAAACAAATTTGAAATATGGTACAAATACTCTTGAGGTTATAGTGTAACTATACAACATTGACGTAATTTTAACGATTTAGAATAACTTAGGAGTCACAGCAAATCAAGTAATGTCTTCTTCTAATGTCCACACTGGAATGTCAACAACCAGAGAACAGGAAAACTACAACAGAATAATCTGAACTTTCACTATTAACACAGTAAATCACCAGATGATATTAGCAACGTTAAACCTGCTTGTAGTTATCACCAAATACTTTTTCTTCACATCTTGTCCAAGGGCTATCCGTTGGTCATTACATATTTTAACATGAAGTGCAGGAACATTATGATACAGTGCAAGCAGTTACCGTCTTAATCTATAATACAACACTCTCGCCAGAGCTAAAATGGGACATTTCACTATAGCATAGAATTTGTAACATTTACACCATAATAGTAATATTGTCTTGTTACAATTAACATTTAACATTTTACTTTTTATACATACCACTTTCTCAATTTGTTCAACATATATATATATATAGATCATATTTATAATACAATTTCTGCCTGCGACAGATTGATAAATGCATCACTCTGACAGCCCTACTATACATTACAGTCCATATCAGGCATTGCGGAAGGCACAGGCACGAAGTAAGTTCGCCTATTATCTTCCACTCATAGCAGCCTAACATAAAACACTGGCGTAATATGCGAAAACCAGTTATTCAATAGATGATAATGCAAATTATGCAACTTTAAGAGCTGCTGTTTATTTTTTGATGAGTAAAACTCTTTCATACAATAGATATAAATGAAGAATAATAGGCATTCACTTGCAAGGAAAAGAAAAATTATATGGTTATTGCTTTGAAGAATAACATTCATCCATGTAATTTACACAAGCAAAAGCTTTTAACCAACTCATTATTCACGAATTAAAACAAGAACAAACTTAGATTTTGCAAACAAATCAAACTTAATGACATTACTGATGTGTGTGCAATGAGTATCAGTTGATATCTTCTCTTGGAACAGTAGTATCCTTCTGAAGTTATAAGATATACATATCTCTTTCCTATACATGACGGCTCTTGCCATAGCGAATATATTTGATGGTGATATTGCAATCAAAATCCTTGCGCATTGTATTACATGACTACGCAGACTGCACTGTGCCAGGCATATGAGTAACTAGCCAAGAGCAGTGAAATAACATCACGTACTACCACAAAATAAGAGAATATCACCAATGCGTGGCTACTGCAGTTGAAGGCTGATGGAGAAACATCAATTGTACAAAACATGCATATTTTACTTATTTAAATAATTTCTGTCACCCTGGCTACTGATGATGTCTGAAACAACATTTTGCCATCACCTATCAAATACAGCTGACTGCTGACCCTGTTCTGTCATGTTTCAAATGACAGCTTAGAAAAAGAGAGCAACAAAATATGTCTCATGAGGACACAGTTTATTTTGTGCAACAATAACTTTGTGTCATTCAAACATAAAAGATCCCTCTTATAAATTTGCAAACAGTCATGCCAAAAAAGACCCTGTAATATAAAACATTAATGACTGCAGTATTAAGGGAATGAAGTCAACACTGTAACTAGATAGAAAACTATATTTCCTCATGAGTCACTAAAGAATAACAAGAAAATAACATAATATAAACTTAAATTCAATGGTGAATTACATATTCTATAGCAGAACATGGCTGGATAACCTGACAGATGAACTTTGCTGAATGATTTCTATAGAATATTTATTGCTGGAAAAAAAAGAAGTTTCCTCACTTAACTGAACATTCTGACTCAAAAGACTGAACACAAAAATATGGCGTACCCTCCGGATCGTGCTCAATTGAGACCTTTCCTCATTAACCTGCCAACAACACATTCATAAGCACTATAGCCATGAGACAAAAATATTATATGCCACAGCCTTGGATTCCTTCTTTCAAGGTGAACAATGTATGTTACAGGAAAGGGCAAACTGTCTTATTTATAGAAACAAACTGCTAGTCACTTTCCACTCTTTGACTACTTTGCAGAATATCTTAATTTCATTATGTAACCACTGGAGGCTTTTTTTTAGTATTTACAGATGGCCTCAATTCCATTTAAAGTCCTGAAAAGAAAAAAGAGAGACATTAATATTTTTTAATTAACATTCAATAAATAAGTCTGAGTCACGGGCACAGTAAATGGTCAATGAACTACTGCATAATGACCTCTCTGAAATGGTCTTAGCCATGGTTGCCAGGACATGCAGTGTGATACTTAAAAGGCCACAGACATTAAAGTGATCAGAAGGGTAAAACTATAGCAAAATGTTTTTTGAGAAACTGTAATCTATGAGGAAGAGTGTCACCTCTGAAGATGGGTATAATTAAAAAAAAGAGAGGTCACTTTATTCTGCCCATTACCATGTTCGCATTTGTCCGCCGCCTGAGCTAGAATTCAGGCCATTACATATAATTGAGAATTACTATGCGTTATATTTGAATTTCTAATGTAATTTTAGAGCAATCTTTATCGATCTTCGGAAAGTCGATACACATATTTTTAGTCTGAAGTCGACATACCGTATACAAGTGATCGATTGTTCATTAATGAAGTACGTGAAATTTGAAGGTTGTGGCGCCATGTAGTCTGGTAGAAGTTTGCCGACGTTTCAGAGGCCCTTGCTGCCTCGATCATCAGGGCAATGATGATGAAGGCAGCAAGGACCTCTGGAACGTCGATAAACTTCTACCAGACTACACGGTGCAACAATCCAGAAGACAGCCATCTTCCACTTCCATATAACACATTTTATAGACTGAAGCAACAATTCAGAGAATCTTCCTTGATATTTATATTCCAGAATATTATCAGAGTTGAAATGAGAAGTTGACAAGCTTATTCCCTTTGCCACAATAAGACTGGGGCCATCCAGCTACAGCCTTTTAAAGATTTATCACAAGTGTCTGGCATGCAATGAAAGACAAAACATCTCAATTTTATATTTTTATATGGCAAGTTAAACATCTCACAAATTTTATTGAGACAAAATGTTTATCTCACCACTGAGTATTTTAGTACAAATGAGTGGTGATCCTATATTATAACAGATTTTTGCACATGAATGGAACCAATGCTTTATACGTCCGAACTCTGATCAATCCTTCTCGTACATATATGTGTGCAGCAGAATACAAACGAGTTGCAGATTTTGTAATGCTATAAATGTGAAGGTATTTTTTATGCTGTCAACATAATTGTATCTATAACTGCTTGGTAAAAATTAGTTACATCATCACAGGCTTATCTGTTATTTTCTTCTGGGTTACCAGCATGTAGGTACAGAAAGTCTTAACATAACAAACCTTTGTGGAATGATAAATTATATTCATAATTATTAAATTATGCCATTAATTAAAGGCAATAAAAACAAATTAATGAAGTGAGATTTGTTTTTACAAAGGTCAAAACATTTTTGTCACACAAGTGACATAACACATGTTTATGATATTCACTAGCATAAAGATAATTGTACTTTCCACTTTTACAATGTGAACTAGAATAATCTATCTAAAATTTACATGATTATGTAAGTCATCCTTTAAAGGCTAATTATGTATTTTTTTGTTTATCAGCAATGTATTAGGGCATATATGCAGACCTGCTTGCCATGTGTTGCAGCAGAATGATAAACTGTTTCACCCAAAAGTTAAAATCTGACTGGCAGTACCCCAGTACAGGGGTTTGTATTCACACCCATAAATCAAAAATTAAATTCCCATAAACTTTAATGTAAACAATTTTGAACTGGTTCTTGAGTCCCAGAAAAAAGCCACTATTTTTCCCATGTAAATAAAATAAAAATAAGAACAGTACTACTTTTTATGATGGTTTTTACCTATTTAACCCTCTAAAGCACTACTGAAGTGTTAAATGTTTTAAATAAACAGCACTTTCTGTAATTATAATACAAATATAAAAGCTTACATGAGCAAAGCATAAACAAAAAGAAATTAATTGGTTCTCTGTTGTAGTGAAAATTGTAAACTGAGAAATAGGTGTACATGGTACTTTGGTAGGTGATGAACAATATTTTCATTACAGTTAAATTAAATTATATTGGCATTTATTATTCCAAGATCTTACTAAATTTATAACTGCTTGGCAACAACTGTTATATCACAGGTTTGGAATTATACTGTTTATTCGTTCCAAACCATTCTGTTGTGAATGCATGCTTTCATATACTGAATGTGATGCTGACTCAAGACCAGAAAGTACTGTAATTTCCTGCACTGAAGGCTACATTAGATATTAGCAGCAGGAAGAGATCAGCTGTGGGCTAAAAGTTTAGTTACAAGCTATTAAAAATAAAGCTTAAGAGATTTAGATGGTGAATGAAAGTTCTGTTGGCATGTGCTGCTGACACTGGTTGATGATAATGCAGAGATTAAGAATGCGGGTAGTAAAAGAGATTTTGATTGGGAAAACATATCAAATTATAGGGGATTATTCATGTTACAGGGTGCAGCATGCAAGGTAATGTAAATCACACCTCAAAATTCTGCAGATATTAGAGGACTTCAATACAAAATTTGATTAAAACTGTAGAAGTCTGGCCATTTCAGTCTAAAGATGCATTTCTTTTTGTGTATTTAAGGCCATATATTGCCTGTCCTCAGATTATTTTTATACAAATTCTCCAATTTCTTCAATGAACAATATCCAGTACAAATGCAGGGTAATGAACAGACCTGCATGTACCATATATGTTTTATTAGGACTGAAAACAAACATAATTCTGAATTGACTTCTTACTCATTCTCAAACACTGAATTATAATGCTCACAATACATGCGGATGACATACCTTAACTTACTGAAAACTGAAGCAGACTGTACAATTATATTCATAGGTGGCTGTTACAAGAGTCAAGTACAACTTCAGCTTTTCAGGATAGGCCATGCAAATTGGTGAGAATATCATATGTTTAGGCAAACAGTATAGTTGCCATCTTCAGGTGTTTTGTAACAGTTGGGCATTTCTGAAAGGCTTATATAGGGCAGGCAGTAGGTGGCGAGTTGAATTTGACAGTGCCGACTGGTTGAACCGATAAGTGGGCCGCTATCCAATTGGAGATGAGCATGTGGTTGAAGAAAAGAACTGAAGCTCTACCTATCAGCACTGTCAAATTCAACTCAAAACCTACAGACTGCCCTAAATAAGGATTTTAAAAAATACCTAACCATTACATACCCTGAAGATGACAACTGCAATGTTTACTGAAACACTGAATAATTCTCAACATTCAATGCAGCTCATCCCCAAAAGCCAAAGTTATACAGTGAACTCCAGCTGCAGAAACCTTTGGACAAAAGTGAAGTACTTGCAGGTGTTATCTGTTATGGAACCAGTGTTAAAGCTTAGCTGAAATCTATAATACTGACAAACCAAACTATGCAGCCTACCTAGATCCCTCCCTGAGATGAGGTTCACAGTGCTCCAAATGGATCCAATGGGAGTGTTTGAGCCCCTTGCTGTGGTTGAGTTGGAGGTTGTGAGGCTAGGGGTTGCTGCCCCACCAAACCAGGTGTGCTCCCTACTCTGGGGCTTCCCATCATTCCGCCACCACCACCTATTATCCCTGCCCCACCCATCATGGGTGCTGTCCCCACTGGCCGCATGCCCTGCATACCTTGTATTCCCTGTACAGGTTATGAAAGAACCAACCTAAGTAAACCAAACAGACTCCTAACAACAAAGACCAGATTTCTTGAAATATTGCCAAGCAAATAAAGCTATGCCTTTAAAATTCTAACCAGTATGGAAAACTTAACACTACCTTATCTTTATCTTGCAACATTTTATATCACGGTATTACATTTATGACCACTAGCTATGCTTTGTAATGTACCTGCCAAAATGGTATTTTCTTATTAATTAGCTACTGTGAATTCTAATTACACTTTATTATTAACAAAGCAACAGTGAAATTCAATAGAAAGTAATTAATCATGACAAGAAACACTGGTCTTTATTTTCATAGCCTATTATCACACATCCGAACAGCAAACTGAAATATGAAAATACAATGCAGTCCGATCATTACCATATTTACCTGAATATGTGACAATTTACACTTCTCAAAACTTAAATTTATGGAAAAACAAAGAATCAAATTTGTTCTTGACCTAAGTTATTTTTATATTAAAATATCTTTTACTCCCTTCTTCTTTATGAGTTTACTGGGAGATAGTGTAATTTTGGAATAAAATGTAAAGAATTACAATTTCCACAGATTGCATTACTGATAATAACATCCCTAATTTACAACACTACTCACTGACATAATCAATATTTCACATTCAGCCCATTACCAGAAAACAATTAAAAATGGCATTATATTTTAGTTTGCTCACAAATATAACATCCCTTAATTTTCAGACACAGCAAAACCTCCTCCAACACAGATTCCATTATACACACAAAAATAAATGTGAACAATGTGCCGAATGTGAGAATTGCACAAACACACTGTAGCAGCACACAAAAAATACCACTGCTATTTAAAAATACCAACTTTGTTTTATTCTATGTAAAAGTGTAAATATTCACCACAATTAACATAACATGATTCCTCCCTCCCATGCCTTTCACCCCCTCTGTCTTACAAAGTACATGTAAACCATGGTCTCAGTCACACAAACGATGTTACCATGTTAATTTGTCATATTGTTTTCCCATATTTTTTTCTTTTTATGTAATTACCCTTGACAGCATTATAGAATCAACATTTAAAATCAAAATGGATAATAAAGAAAAGAAAAGACACAAGGTTGTGACACTAGATGAGAATATAAAGAATCTAGGTAAGTTTCGTGGTGGTATGAGCAAACCATCAACTAACCTAACATTCTGTTTATATTTTATTTTAAATTATAACTTTCTATTTTTTAATGGTTCACATTCAGATGATACTTTTACTATATTACACAGTTTGTTCATAAACAAAAAGTGTATTTATGACTTGTTTTGTTTATTTACTTTGACTTCCACAGCCCCGTCCCATACCCGATTAATACCACGCAATATTAACTTGTCCAACATAGACTCAGTGAATGCGCTGCTTTTGAGGATCATTTTCATCATGTTGAATGAGATTTCACGGTATTGAATTAAGAAAAGAAGAAGAAGAAAAAACCCATCACTTTATATTCAGGTAAATACAGCAAGTATTAAAACTGAAACACACACAGTTTTACTTGTTGCATTTTTTATTTATACGAGGGGTGTATACAAATGATTTACATGGTTTGGGGGTGTCTCGTACCCACTTCCTGACAGCATCATGTAAGGCGTCACTATCGGGGAATCAGTGACCACGCAGGGGATTCTTCATCTCACGGAAGAGGGCATAGTCACTTGGTGCCAGGTCGGGGGAATAGGGCGGGTGTGGGAGCACAGTAAACCCCAGTGACTGCAAGTGAAACTGTGTTCAATTGGGTGACAGGCTTCGCATGTGACAACGAAACAGTGAAAAAGGGATTCAGCAGTGGTCATCCCAGAACATCAATAACTCCGCAAATGATTCAAAGAGTGTCGGAACTGATCCCCTGCGTGGTCACCGATTCCCCGATAGTGACTCTTTATATGATGCTGTCAGGGAGTGGGTACGAGACACCCCGAAAACAATAGTTTCGTGAGGCAATACGGAAATTACCAGAGAGATGGTAACGGTGCATCGACCTCCAGGGAGAATATGTGGAACGGGCGGAGGTGTAATCTGGGAGCCACCATCATCAAGGATCACATAATTCAGGTTAGTCTAAATCATTTGTATATGCAAGAAATACCACTGTGCACATCCAAACTTATCATAGAACCCATACTTAATGTGACATTAATATCTAAATACAAACTTCATTCAACTGTAGGAGGGTGCATGTGAAATGAACTAATAAAAAATAATATGATTTAAAAATGTGCATTTCCAATGAGAATGGACAAAATACATACAACAGAGATAAAAAGTAAGACATTCAAACAACGTTAAACACATAAGACACTTCAAAATATGTAACAATTTATATACAGAAAATAACCATTCCCTGTTGTATGTACAGTGGGTCCTTGATATTCATCAACTTTCTCATCCAACATTCACCACTTTCCACCATTACCTTCATATCTGTCAATGGTTCTCACATCGGGCATCATGACGCCAGTCATCTCACCATGTACGAAATGTTCTATCATTCAAGAGTCAGTCAACTAGGAACTCTCCTAGGTTTTTAAATTCTCTGCCAATACCAGTCAGGACAGTTGGTAGCCTAGCCACTATTCATACTTCGTATCTCCCAAATAAAAGCACGGAATGTTACTGCTACACCAACCAGCTCACAGTCCAGATCAGTAGGGATCCCATAACATTATTCTTCACATGATGCTGACATTACTGAATACGCATGGATTAATATAACAGATGAACAGAATATCTTAGAAAGAGTCTGTTTAAACTACCTAGATCCTGTAGTGGGCTTGTGTTGATGCAGTGACAAACTTTAGGGTTTCATAAAACCATTGTGAGAGTCAGTGTGTGTAACAAAGTACGTAAGCAAGGCGTTTTTATATGAGTATTGTAGTTTCAATTTTCTGACACTGTGTTCACATACTCTTATTTCTTATCACCTGGAAGTATTATAGTATATTTCTATCAATCATGTCCGTGTATTTTTATTCTCATAAACTACTCGCATGCAACAAGTTATTAAAATCTTTTAATTATTTAAACAAATTCAGACTTAGGCTATAGATAATTCTGACAACTGTATAATACTTATAGAAATGTATTCTATTACAAAATAAATGTGCATTAAAATGAAAAGTGGTAATGTGACATGCAGATTATAAGGCAGTGTGAAGGCTAGGATACTCACCAACGGCTGCAATGGTGGGAACTGTACAGGGACATTCATGGTGGACATTCCTTGGCCCTGAAAATAGTACAGCACATTGCCACCTTCATGCTCAGGCCAGTGCAAAAACAGCAAAGTAATAGTAAAAAACTAACAAACACAACCAACTAAGAGAAGCATCAGGGTATTCCAACGACAACGTCGGAGCAGCAGGGGACTCACCATGGGCCTGTAACCTGCACCTGTCGTGGCAGCCATTGGTTGTGGAGTCCAACCAGCAGTACCAGGTTTCACCACATTCTTTGGTGAATTCCACTGGACACCTCTATAGAGAGTAAAACAGAATATACTAATGTTCTTAGATTATTTAATTATGCTTTATCAGCGCAGACAAACATCCATGGCTTGAGTGGGATTCAAACCCACGGTCCCAGCGACCAAGCGGCACAAGGCCCACGCCTCAGACCGTGCAGCCACTGCGGACCCCTTAACAGCTACAGGGGGTTATAAACAGGTGCAGGCAAAGCACAGCCTGCAATAAAGTTTAGATATTATTAACCCTTTAAAGCCCAGTGGTAACTATGTCCCATCTGCTCTAACAATTAATAGTTCTTAATTTGTATTTATGGATCTTGTATGATTCTCAGTGCAAACAGGGGTTATTTAATGAAACAGCACTGATAAGCTGATCTTCGTTATAATGGAATGTAAAAATAACTGGAATTACCAGTGTAGAATTTCATTTAAATTATATACATCATTACAAAGGATAATAATTTGCACATTTTACTGTTTTAAGTTTCCTCTGATGTGTGTACATAGGTTTGATCACACAGAAGCCTCAAGCCTCCCTTCCTTACCTACAGAGCTATGAGCAAAACGGATTGAAGCAGCTTTGCTGGTAGAGGGATTAAGCCTTTAGTCATTACTTAATGACTATAACAGTATAGAAAGCTTTACGAATCCTGCGTAATGTTTTATAGTTACAAATTTAACAATATAAATAAGTAGGTTGCAAGATAAGATGTAGGTCTTAAAGCCTAACCTATTTTAATGCCAATTCACCTTCAAAGAGTGCAACCTGCCATCATGAAAGAGGCCCTGGTGAATGGCTGACATTAGAAGTTTATATACAATGTGTAAATGTACTAACTTCACTGTTGCCTGACCACCTTTGTTGATGGAGAGATTCTGCGCAAGGGAAGCAAGACTGCTGTCAAGATCACCGGTTAACACCTTCCCACTTGTTGGATCACCAGTCTGTGCAACTCCTGCAGTCCCTGTGCCTACAGGTGCTGAAATAACATAACATTAAATTACATTACATTTACAGACAAGAGCAACTGCAACACTCTGCATGTTCCTATACACAAATAAGCATAATAATTTTTTACCATTGTCTTGAAATTTTTTAGCCACTACAAGCACCTGACGTCACTTTAACACCAGTAACTAAATCAGGTTTTACCATAAAGCATACAACAACGATGTAACACATAAAGCAAATTCACAGATTTAAATTTTACTCGAAACAATTTAACCTAATATCTATAAGCTACGCTCAAAATAATCCCTGAAAATGTTTACATTAAGAAAAGCTACAGAAGTATTTACTATGAGGAATATAGCATGTGTCGTGTGTGTATATATAAAGAGAAAGAAAGAAAGAAAGAAGCAACAGAAGTATACGTGACTTCTATCTTTAATTTGTTCTTTCTGTTATATAACACACTAATAAAACAATGTTATTAGGTCACTTATACTTAAACTGCCAGTGCTTGTAATATTTATCATAAAAATATTCATTGCATTTCCTTGTCATGAAGTAAAATTGCCAAACTGTTTATATGTTGTTGTAACTGTTATAATTAGTTACAATAAAATTGCCAAACTGTTTATATGTTGTCGTAACTGTTACAATTAATTACACGATGAATTTCATTCATTCATTCATCAAAAGTTAAGAGATCAGCTAACTATCTTCGAGTAAGCCATCTGAGAGATTTTTCAAAGATACACTGCAATAATTCTTACTGTATGTGGTCTGGATTAAGACCTCAACAAAATCTGTTCATCATATTTGTGTTTCTTAACTGCCTGTATGAGACCTCACATGCTCTAGTCATGCAATCAAGTAGTGCTTAAAAGTAACACAAGAACATACAAAATAATACATCATATATCATACAAATGCAAAAATTACAAATGGTCAGCTGTGAACAGGAGAGCACTTATCACAGCAAAGGCTAGGGAACATGTGGATGATAACATCAGATATTTCTTGAGAACTATACACATTCTTAATGGAAATATAATGGACTACTCAGGGAAGAGTAGCAAAACTAGTGGCAGTCGACGATTCTTTGTACACGGCTATACTCACTGGAACTAACTTTTAATTTACCTTATCCATACTTCTATGCCACTTGATTTCATTTCCCAATCTATTCTCGTTGTCATGGCCTTTTCTTTACTGTCATTACATCTTTTCTCCTCTATCTGCATGAACACACGCCTTCTCTTCCTTACATACTCCCAATTTTCTTAAATAATGATCTTCACTATTTATAATGCCACTTTGTTTCTACCTAGAACCTGATCCTGAAGTTTACTTATTTAAGGACACCTTTATAACTGCTCCGACTGCATAGTATCAAATGGCAAGATCATGAATGATGGGTTGGATGGATGTGGAATGAAGCAGCATTGATCTCATTTAAACCAAGTCACAAGTAGCCTGAATTATCAGAGTTGGCCTCCAGATCTGGATTTTATGTCATAACAAGAGCCCGCTGAAGAACCCTATTAATCACTACAGACATCACATCAGTTTATTAAAAGTCTCTTACAACAGGAAAACAGAAAAGCCCTGTTGTAAGCACACTACACTACAATGGCCTACCAGACTTCCCTCTATTTGTAGGATTTGAGGTTTTCGCAGTGGTTAAGTCCAAAGATGGTAGTCTTCTAGGTTGTAGCGCAGTGTAGTCTGTTAGAAGTTTAACAACGTTTCAGAGGTCCTTGCTGCCTCCATCATCAGGGCAATGATGGACGCAGCAAGGACCTCTGAAATGTTGGTACACTTCTACCACACTACATGGTGCTACAACCCAGAAGACAGTGACTTTCCCTCTATTTGTCTACAAGTAGTCCACCACACCTTTGACGGTTTATTGGTCTTAACTTCCCAGAGTGCAATTATAAATTAATTTGCCACCGGACTGTAAGGTCCTGGTCTCATCCTGGCAGATATGCCTCTTAATATTTTCTAGTTTTTTCTTCATGTAATAAATAATTGCCACATTTTAAATAAACATTTACTTTACATATCTATTAACAATTCTATCTTCCTACTTAATTGTCTCCAGTTCCCTCACAGGCTCATTTATTCACTGAGAGAGTTTCCAATATGAACAAAATATCTGATATTATCATCTGTCAGTGTTTCGACAGCAAGTGCTTTCTCTTCTCAGCAATTCAATTTGAAGAAGAAATATACACACGTCTTAATGTTACACACAAATTTCTAATGTTTACAAATAAGTCACAATGTTCATAAAAATTTTCTTGATTTTATAGAACATAAACGGGCAGTATAATTTATCTACTGTACGTAATGGGTGAATTTATTTGTAACATACAAGTATGAACTGTCCTTGCATACATGTATTGCACTATTATGACTTTTTCCACATCCTACTGTCATTTGACTAACTTATGGATCCAAGGAATGAAAAAAGATGTACCATGTAAGACGTAATACAAATATTTGAAATATTATTATCCAGTCAAAAATTATGACTACAAAATTTAACAGCCTAGCTTCTGGGCCTGAAGAGATTTGTGGATGACAAATAGTTCTATTGATACCACAGGCATTTTTTTAGTTTCAAGTCACAGTTCACCCGTTTCTATTTGACTGTTATATTACACTTTACTTACAATTCAGTCATAATAAACAGTACTTGAGAATGTTTTACAAGAAAACGTATTTAACAGAAATTGTAACATTGTAATCTCATCACCTACAAATGTATCTATTCTAAAAATATAGCCGAGTTCATACACCTTCATTTTTCAGAAACTATACAAGATAAAGTAACAATAATGGAACAGTGTAACCCTAACAGACAAAAGAGATAACTTCAAGTTGTGAATAAACTACAACCACCAATCAAATATAATTATGAGACATATTTATAATACAAAGGATGATAAAATCTATATTGCAGCGACTGTAGATGATAAGAAAGGGGATCCAATGTTGAACATATATTGTACTGAAAGCTGTCAAGATAACTAAATGCAATGAAATTTGGAGACCACCTTTGCCTCCATTATCAAGGGCAGATGTAAAATGACCATCAAATAATGATATTATAACATTTAATGACGAACTCCGCTCTTAGCCACTGAAATCAGAAACTGGGACACCACAACCAGTTCATATCAATATTGTAGACACTTGTACAAATTTTCAAAACACTGGGATGATCTGGCTACGACCACCAGTGATTAGTATAATGAATCTAATAATAATAATGATAACAACAACAGTGTTGATGAGTTTTATATAAACATTTTCCGAAATGGGATATGAATGATTAGACTTTGGGAGTTTGGTTATGTCAGTTGTCAGTTAATCTGTATAAAGAAACTTTCTTGACTGCAAGAGTATTTATGCAAAAACACTAATCACTGCTGATAAAGAGTTTAGAAAGAGAATAGGTCTACGTATCACTGTATTTGTTTCCATGTTGGCCCATTTACCAGTTTCGATGGTCTGTTACTATATTTTCATTTATACAGTGCGTGACATCTAGAATGCAAGCCAACAATCATGTACCACAGCACAAAAATGAAATTAGAAGCAAGACCCCCCCCTCCCAGACACTCAAATCAAGGTCACCCTAGTTCCTAGGCCACTGCTCACGCCAGTGTATGCACAAGCAGAATGTGTGTTCATTCTCGAACATCACATTAAAATTGCTGCTCTTCATGAACCATTTAGTAATGTGTATTGCGAGAAGGAATTACCGAATAAGATAACAATACACTGACTGGTAACATTTTGGGACAGAGGAAGTGTCAGTGTATTGTTATCGTATTCGGTAATTCCTTCTCGCAATACACATTACTAAATGGTGCGACAACCCAGAAGACAACCATCTTCAAACTCACTGCTATGAAAACCTCAAATCCTATACATTGATACTTATTATCAATACAATAAAAGTTGACCATACACCTAACAAAATAAACAATCAGGGTGTTTCAGCCATTAATGTAATGGCTAGGGTTCAATTTCCTGAAGAGGCAGTAATTTTTATTTTTGTCATTATGTCCAGACCAGCTCTGCAACCTACCTAAGTTCACATTCAACAGGGCAACAGCAAAGTTTCTTCCCCCGAGATGAAGCACGTGACACATGAAGGTGACCACTCACTTCCTTTTAATGGCAAGGTTACATCTTACATACCTCAATGCTGTGGTGGTTTACATGACAACTTTACTTCTAAATTTACCTAATAAAATAAATATTTGTAACTTCACTAATGTATCAACAAATCCTCATTCTTTTTATCCCCATCTGCATATGAATGGAGCACAATACAAAGGAACACTGGAGGAATAACAACAAAAGAAAGTTACACATAAAAGAAATTAGAAAGAAGGATTCCAATAATCACACACAGTTAAAGTAATAAACATAGAACCAAATAAGTTTAACTAGTTCCAAAGATGGTACAAATTCAACCAAACTTTCCAAAATGCATGAAACAAGGACACCATTATTTACATTCAGTTTCCACTGATCACTATTTCAATTTCTTTGGAAATCTGTTACTTTCTGATTTTGAAATCCTTTCATTCAGAAGTCTCCATTTATCTCCCTGCTAATGAGTAAACATACTGGGATACTGGGAACGACCCGTTCTTCAAGTGCCTGAGCACTGCGGGTCCCAACTTTTCGTTGGCTTTAATCTATTAGACATTCGGTAGGACTCCTTGGATGAGGGATCGGCCCGTCACAAGGCCTCTACCTGTACATAGGACAGCACAACACAGAAAAACTTGGACGAACATCCATGGCTTGAGTGGGATTTGAACCCACGGTCCTAGCGACCAAGCGGCATCACACATACATAAATAAGAATATATGTTCACAGTAACATTGTTTTTACAGTAGAGTTTGTGGGTACTGTAAATAATACGATCATGAGAATATATATTCATAACATTTTGGTAACTTCTCTGGTCAAGAAAAATATAAATATTCAAAGACTGTCATAAT